ATTCCAGATTCTTCAGAAGTACTATTAGAATCCTAATAAGGTATGAGTAAAATTCCTTGCAGGCATTCAATATGCCTAGTGAACTACGACAGGGAATTTAGTCAAGGCATGTAGGTAGAAAGAATCTTTAATCTCAATATCATTGCAGCAGCCACAGATCAGGAAAACAATACTTTTTTACTTTGTAGTAGATAAGTCATTTTCTGAGGAATTGATAAGTCATTTTCTGAGGAATTCTCAGTAAAGCAACTTCTCAGTTAACCAGAATTTAATACAGTACGAACCATTTCATATAGCTAATATCAAATCCCGCCCCTTTTTTTACTGCTCAAGTCAAAAATAATTATAGAAATACAGGCTTTTATCCAGAATTTATGTGAATAAGTTTCTGGAAATGCTCTAAAATCAAATGATATTCAGCCCAATCTCCCATAGTTTCCATATTTATGTCTATATTGGTGGCGCAAATGGTTTACACTCAACTACTAACCTAGAGGCTGTAGGTGCAAACCCACCCAATGGCTCTGTGGAAGAAAGGCCTGGCAATTTGCTTCTGTAAAGATTACAGCCAAGAATGGAGGTGTTCTACTCTAACACATGGAGTCACCATGAGCTGCAATCGACTCAAGGGTAATGGGCTTGGTTTTGGGTTTTTTTTTTTTCCCTGTATATGAGAATTAAAGCTAAGAATAATGAACCCGTTTCCTGTAAAAAGGATTATGTTCTCTGTAAAAAGGGTATTGTTTGTACACATAAACAAGAAACAAGAATGTTTCCCATGAGGACTCTCTGAGAGGAATGTCTGAGTTAACCAGATACCTTTTTTTAATACAGGTATCAGAGAGTTGGAAGATAAAATTCTTATCTTTCTTGTTCATCCTCATATGCTACTTTTTGGGGAAATGTATAGAGAAGAGGCATATTGGATGTGTTTTGCTTTAAATTTGATGTTAATATGACAATTAAATTATCACTGAAATTACATTGTAAGTACCCTACCTCAGAAAGATATGCGTTAAACAAGACTTCTGCGATTGGCTTGAGGGAAATAAATCCTGAGTCCCAAGCCATCAAAAACTGGGAATTTTAACCAGTTTATAATTTGGAAGACAGCTACCTGGCCAACTGACTGGAAGAGATCCATATTTGTACCCATTTCAAAGAAAGATGATCCAACAGAATACAGAAATTATCAAACAATATGATATATATCACACGTAAGTAAAATTTTGCTGAAGATCATTCAAAAGCGGTTGCTGCAGTTCGACAGGGAACTGCCAGAAATTCAAGCCAGATTCTGAAGAGGACGGTGGAACAAGGGATATCATTGCTGATGTCAAATGGATCATGACTGAAAGAAGAGAATACAAGAAAGATGTATACCTGTGTTTCATTGACTATGCAAAGGCGTTCGACTGTGTGGATCATAACAAATTATGGATAACATTGCAAAGAGTAGGAATTCCAGAACACTTATCTGTGCTCATTAAGGAGCATGTACTTAGACCAAGAGGCAGTCTTTCAGATCAGACAGAACAAGGGGATTCTATATAGTTTAAAATCAAGAAAAGTGTGGGTCAAGGTTGTATCCTTTCACCATACTTATTCAATCTGTATGCTGAGCAAATAATCCAAGAAGCTGGACTATATGAAGAAGAACTTGGCATCAGGTCTGGAGGAAGACTCATTAACAACTTGTGATACTCAGATGACACAGCCTTACTTGCTGAAAGTGAAAAGGACTTAAAGCACTTACTGATGAAAATCAAAGACTACAGACTTCAGTATGGATTATACCTCAACACTAAGAAAACAATAGTTCTCAAAACTGGACCAATAAGCAAAATCATGATAAATGGAAAAAAGATTGCGGTTGTCAAAGATTTCATTTTACTTGGATCCACAATCAACACCCATGGAAGCAGCAGTCAAGAAATCAAAGGATGCATTTGCATTAGGCAAATCTGCTGCAAAAGACCTCTTTCAAGTGTGAAAAAGCAAAGATGTCACATTAAGGACTAAGGTACGCCTGACCCAAGCCATGATGTTTTCAATTGTCTCATATGCATGTGAAAGCTGGACAACGAATAAGGAAGGCTGAAGAATTGATGCCTTTGAATTATGGTGTTGGGGAAGAATATTGAATATACCGTGGACTGCCAAAAAAACGAGCAAATCTGTCTTGGAAGTACAGCCAGAATGCTCATTAGAAGGTAGAATGGCAAGACTTCATTTCACATACTTTAGATATGTTATCAGGAGGGACCAGTCCCTGGAGAAGGACATCATGCTTGGTAAAGTAGAGGATCAACAAAAAAGAGGAAAACCATCAACGACATGAATTGACACAGTGGCTGCAACAATGGGCTCAAGCATAATGATTGTGAGGATGGCGCAGGACCAGGAACTGTTGTTTCGTTGTGTTTTGCATAGAGTCGCCGTGAGTCGAAACAGACTTGATGGCACCTAACAAAAACAACGTAAGTTGGGGACAGTTCCTTTTGTGTTAAGGCAAGTAAGTTGACTAACACATTTTGGGAAGGTTTTGAACAATAAGAATTAAAATTAAAGGACTCTATCATAATCCTGAAAGGAGCCCTGGTAGCACAGTAGTTAAGTGCTCGGCTGCTAACCGAAAGGTCGGCAGTTCAAACCCACCAGCCGCTCCGTGGGAGAAAGATTTGGCAGTTGGCTTCCGTAAAGATTTACAGCCTTGAAAGCCCTACAGAGCAGTTCTACTCTGTCCTATAAGGTCAGTATGAGTTGGGATCAATTCAACAGCAACGTGTTTTTTTTTTTGTTTTGTTTTGTTTTTATCAGCTAATGACTTTATCTTAACTAAACAGTTACAACATAGTTAGGAACTCAGCTCTTCAACTCAAATCATGTGTAATGCCTCATTTTGATGACAGCTGTTGCTAAAGCCCGATAGAGTAGGGCTGGGTTGTTTGGCTGAAAGAAAGTTAAGGAAACTGTTCTCACTCTGAAGTAAACAGCATTTCTCACAGACATCAATGCGATAGCAGTGTTCCACAGCTTCACCATTTGGTCCCAGTAGATACTGCTTACATTTCCCAGTCACTTCCCTACACAGTGCAGCTTGATTTTGCACTTGCATAGGGCATACATTCCCATTCAGTTATTTGTCAGTGTTTGTACAGCTGCGCCTGTGTTCATACCTCCTTTTGTGAACTTGTCCATTGATAGACTTGCAGATTTTAATCTGTACTGGGTTAAAGATGTCACTTAATTTACTGTGTAAAGAAATTAACATTTAATATGGGCTATTTGGTTATTACAACAATATTTCTCTAGAGCTATAAGTGATACAATATATTTTATAAATATTAAACATGTTTACAAATAAATGTCCTACAAAATATGTGATTGGATTAAGATTCTCATTTATTCAAGCCCAAGGCATATAGTTTATGTGCCTTCCCAGGGGCAACAGGGAACTTTTATCACTGTGGTTCAGAATCATTGCACCTACAAGTGTCAACTCGCTTTCCAAGATGATAGGCAGGGCAGGTTCCTGCTCTCCTGTTTGTGTGATTCAATAATATTAACCCAAAAGCTTTTCTTGTTGTTCTTGCCATATAGTGGAGGCAGATCTTATTTTGGGGTGGAGGTACAGTCAGGGATAAGGAGAAAGGCACCAGATAACAAGTCAGTGCATTTAGGTGCCATGTTGCACAAATGCCGATACAAGTCTGTAATCTGTAGAGCTGCAGCATTCAGTACGATAACCACTAGCCCCATGTGGCTATTGAGCACTGGAAGTGTGGCTTGTCCAAACTGAGATGTGCTATGAGTGTAAAATCATACCAGATTTTGCAATTGTAGTAAGAAATAATGTAAACTATCTCATTAATAATTTTTATATTGATTGCATATTGCAATGATAATACTTTAGATATGCTGAGTTAAGTAAAATACGTTAAGTTTAATTTAGCTGTTTCTTTTTATTTTTATTTTTTAATGTAGCTACTAAAAGCCAAAATGAAACCCGTTGCCATTGAGTCGATTCTGACTCATGGCAACCACATATTTTACAGAGTAGAACTGCTCCATAGAGTTTTCTTGGCTGTAATTTTTATGGAAGCAAATCACCAGGCCTTTCTTCCGAGGCACCACTGGGCAGACTTGAACCGCTGACCTTTAGGTTAACAGCTGAGCACAAACTATTTGCACCACCCAAGGACCTTTCTTACATGGTGCTGTCCTCTAAAACAGCATCTTTATCTTGGCTTTCTTATCTCATTATTAGGCCTGCCTCTCCACATTATAACAACAATGTAAGCCTTTTCTCCAAAGCTTAGATGCTTTTCAGTCACATAACAGCTAAAGCTTTCAAAAATGATTGCTGCCTCAGAAACTGGGGAACTGCTAGGTCAGGAATGATCCAACTTCTTGTTTTTCCCAAAGTTACCAAAGAAAGCATCTCTTAGTTCAGTCTGGTTAAAAATGTAGACAGTCTAATTCCAATTAAGTAAAAAATATTAAGTGCCTACTATGTGCTAGACACTGATCACGTACTGGAGGCACAAAGGTGGAGATGGCCAATCCCCAGCTCTCAGAGTTCTGGCCGAGTAGGCCTCAAGGCAAGTTACTGCAACACAGTGTGTTAAGGCCTGTGTGTCCATAAGCCTGGCTATCTGCCCCCATAAAGATTACAGCCTAGAAGACCCTGTGGGGCAGTGCTCCTCTGTAACACATGGGGTCGCTATGATTTGGAATCCAGCATGGGTTTGCTTTTTCATTGGATCCGTAGTGTTGAGGGAACAGAAAAGTGCCACATCCACCACATTTTAGGGTGGATGTTGCATTAAACAGATCTCCTAAGAGGAGAAGTGTTTAAGCCATCTTAAATGACTAACTCTTTTTCTTGGTTTTTATTTATATTGCATGAAGGCCATTGCTAATGGTGACCATCAGCTTTGGTCCATGCATTCGCCTCTACTGGCATGTTTTGCTGATTCCCTCCCTGTGGTTTGCAGGTACCACCAAGGTCAACCTGGTGAAGATCCCATCCACAGCTTCCAGCCCACGGGACACAGCCCTGGCGGCCGTGATCTGCAGTGCCCTGGCCACCGTCTTGCTGGCCCTGCTCATTCTCTGCGTGATCTATTGTAAGAGACAGTTTATGGAGAAGAAACCCAGCTGTAAGTTTTGCACTCTGTATATTTCTTAGTGAAATGGGTTTGTCATCATTGTCGCTCAAGTGTTCTACAAGAAACATGATTAAAATTAGAGTCTGTGAGCTGTTGAAGGAAGAGAGCACGTGGGAAAGTAAACCTCACTGTCTTCTTCACAGTCTCAAAGGCACTGAAGGCACAACAGGACTTTATAAAGATAACAAAAAGGCTGCGATGTTCCAGTGGCACTAGATAAAAATAAAATCTTTCTAAACTCTGGCAACATACCAGTTTATGTGCAGTCAGCTCTCACTCTACCCATGTGCATCAGGGTAGAACTGTGCTCCGCAGGGTTTTCGGTGACTGATTTTTCAGAAGTGGATTGCCAGGACTTTATTCTGAGGTGCCTTTGGGTAGACTCTAACCTCCAACCTTTCAGATAGCAGCTGAGCATATTAAGCATTTACACCACCCAGGGACTCTTCTGGGAGCGTAAGTACCCTAATTTTGAATTTTCTTAATTATTTTCATATTTGTGCTTCAATGTGAGAAGAAATAATAAAAAATTTAAATGGTAGCCGTCTTTTTCTGTAAATATGCAAAAGCTAGAGTGGTGGGGGTCTGTATTGTGATGTTAATGACTCTCTTTTCTAAAGGAACAGAGTCCACTGATAGAATGCTCTGCCTTCTGTAGGGTCTCTCAGATCACAGAACATCCAGTACAGCGGGTCCGAGCTGTCCTGTTTTGACCAACCTGGGCTCAATGAGTGTGCTCACCGAGCATGCTGCCAGTGTCACCGGGACGCCGCTCAGGCCTGTGGTAAGCTCAGGCGGGGAGGGGCTGTTTAGAGGAGCAAGAGGAACTCAGAAATGGAAGCCACAAAGAAGTCCTCATATTCTTCTCACAGCTATTCAGATTCTGTTAATTGTCCCAATAATGTCCTTGATAGCAAAAGAAAATCTCAGATAAAACTGCATTTGATTGTCAAGTGTCTTTGGTCTCTTTTAATCTAGAAGGGGTCTTGAGTCTTTCTTTGTTCATGACACTGATGTTTGTGAAGAGTACAGGCTAGTAATTTTGTAGAATGACCCTCAGTTTAGGTTTGTCTGACATTTTTTCACGACTTGATATGGGAATCCCACGGAAGTAATGCTGTGTCCTTCTCAGAGCACCATGTCAGGAGTTATAGCGTGGCCAGTTGTCCCATTGCTGGTCAGCTTGACTCTGGTCATTTTGTTAAGGTGATGTCTGCTAGGTTTCTCCACTATAAACCATTGTTCTTCCCTTCGTAATTGATATGGGTCTTTTAGGGAGCTCCTTGGAGACCATGCAAATATCCTGTTACTCCTCAAACTTTCACCCATTACTGTTAGCACCCATTTGTAATTGTGGCCTGCATCAATTATTGCAATGAGGCATTCCATCATTCCTTCTACATTTTTTAGTTGGCTTTCTGTGGAAAGGAAGAGTTTTCCTTCTTCCTCATTTATTCATCTACTTTTATTAATGTGGACTCTATTCAATGGGTTGTAATCCTTTTCTATCAGTATTTATTTTGAGGCTCAAATTCTCCTAGGTTTGGCCAGTGGAAGTCCCTTCAAGCTGCTCATGTGCCATTTTGACACATCCCTGTTATTCTTTTAGCACTTTCTTATTTTCTAACACAATAAGCAGCTCCAAGCCCACCTTGTGCTTTCCCTGCCCGAGCTCTAGAATCGGCCATTTGACAAAGAATGGCACTGCCTTTTGCTTTTAAATCATTTTGAAATGTTCCCTGGTGAGCGTGACACATGTTTGCTGAGTTAGTTGGGAATGGATGCAGGAGCAGTCACCGTGGTCATCGTACAGTATATTCAGATGGTGCCAGGTGAAGGCCGTGGTGCGGAAGATGAGGTATATGACAAGTGGTCGTCCTGTTTAACACTGGTTTGCAGTTACATCTCAGTATTTAACGTTGATTTTTAAGAAGGGAAATGCTCACTTAATAATTTTTTTTTCTGTTTATAGAATTAAGAGATATTTCTCATGGGAAACATACACACAAACATATACGTACCTATAAATATCTAATTTTTTCAAGTCTTTTGTTTTTCTCCATGTATATGTGTATCTTTGTATGTTTTAGTGTATATAGTTTTATAAAATCAGAATTATATCTATATATGTATATATATAGCTATATATAGTTTTAGATAGGTAGGTAGATAAATACACAAGGGGAGAGAGAGAGAATTAGAGAAGTCTAGAAGCTATTCACCCAAATGTGGATGGTGTTTCCAGGTTATAGGATTGAGAAAGTTCTTTTTTTTTAAATTTCTTATCTGTATCTATTTTTAAATTTTTTTTGTAATAAGCTTGTATTGTCTTTGTAAGAAAAAAATGTATACTACTGCAGTAAACATAATGGTTTGCAAAGCTGTGCGCACACATCTAGTTATTCCTTAAGTTACATTCCCAGCAGTAAACGGTGTGTGTGTGTGTGTGTGTGTGTGTGTGTGTGCATGTTTGTGTGTGTGAGTCTGAGTGTGTGTGAGTATGTGCATGAATGTGTGTTTGCGTGTGAGTGTACGTGTAGCGTATGTGAGTGTGTGTGGTGTGTATGTTTGTGTGTGGTGTATGAGTGGTTGTACGAGTGTGCGTATGTGTGGTGTGTGAGTGTGTGTGGTTATAAGTGTGTGTGAGAATGTGTATGTTTTGTGTGTGTGGTGATTGTGCGTGGGTGTGCACGTGAATATGTGTGGTTAGTGCGTGTGTGTGGTGCGTGTTGGACTAAAGGTTTGGAACAGTTGCTGGTTTATGTTCTGTATTCTAGACCACTCCACAGAAACATCTTGCCATCTCTGCCATCAGCAGCAGCACATGAGAGCCATATCACATGGGCTCTCACAGACGCCATTGTTATTTTTCATCATTTTTTTAAGAGGAGAAAAAAATTAAACCTCCTTCCCTCCAAAAAAGTCACCAAAGGGGAATAGCTAACTCTTCAAGAAGAGTGTGTTGAGCTGCTATTAAAGAGAAAGTTCCTAAAGACAAGCATGTGTTGGCTTCCCCAGGGCCCGTCCACTTGGTTCCGTCCCTGTGCTGTGATGAGGCCCGCAGCTTGGGCCGGGCGGCCCTCGGCTGCACTGTGCATTCCAAGGCTGCGCTCCATGAGAGGTAACTTTCTTGTTTCAGTCGCTATAACTTCATGTTCCCTTGTGGAAACGTACATTCTCCCAGTCTTGGAAACCCTATGAGGCAAGTCTACTCTGTCCTGTAAGGTCTCTGAGTCAGAATCAACTCATAGGGACCTTAGAGGACAGAGTAGAACTGAGCATAGGGTGTCCTAGGCTGTGATCTTTACGGAAGCTGACTGCCACATCTTTTGTCCAAGGAACAGCTGGTGGATTTGAACTGCCCACCTTTTAGTCAGTAGCCAAGCGCTTAACTGCTGCGCCACCATGGCTCTTTGTACATTCTCCTAGTTTACCAATTTTCACGTGAAACTATGGGGACATCACTGCATTGATGATGATTTTTAAAAAAAATATTATTAGTGACATTTTAGATTTTGGAGGAGGGATTGGCAAGAATAAAGGTTGCTAATATCTAATGTAACATTCTTTACACCCTACTCCCCATTAATGTTATTTTTGCCTTATATTCGTGATATGTTTCACCTCTGTCATCAGTAAGTAATTTTTAACATACCATGTACTCATAGAATGTTAGACCACCAATCACGGGAACTTAGTTATGATGCAGAAAATGTTTTAGTGAAATGTTTTGGATTAAGTGTAACTATATAATTATTAGAAATGAGTATAAAAATCAGTGTTAAAGTAAATTAAATAACTTAGCTTATTGTACTAAGGCACGTTTGTAACAACAGAAAGCACTAGAATCCTGACCTTGAAAATTCCTATTTTATCTAGAAGACTTATAGATACACTGCTGCTTTCTAGTGTTGTTTTTCTTCTCCATACAGTATTTAAAGACATCTTAAAAATGTGTTCAGGACTGCAGGTTCCATGGGGGAGATGATGCCGACCTTCTTCGGGTCCCTGTCCCGGTCTGTCGGTGGTGAATTTTCTGATGCCTGGCCTCTGATGCAAAGCTCCGTTTGTGGTGACAACGTCTCTTTTTGTGAATCTTATCCTGAACTCACTGGAGAAGATATTAATGCCCTCAATCCAGAAAATGAAAACTCAACATCTTTGGATTCAAATAATAGTCAGGATTTGGTCAGTGGAGCTATTCCAATTCAAACTCATTCTGAAAACATTACAGAAATTAGTGATGTATCGAGACACAGCAGTGCATTGACAGACCCAGCCCTAACTCAGGATACACTACCTACTAGACATCAGCGAGATCAAGAGAGTGAAGGTGTCCTTAACCCAGCCACTCCCACTTCCCTCCAGGTAAGGCAGGGACTGACGGGTTTATGGTAGACCACAGGGAACAGAAGTGTGCTCCACCCAGGGGGAACCCGCTGAAAAGGTTTTTCTGCAGTATTATTGTTGTTGTTAGCCGCCATTGGCTCAGCCCCCTATGCGTGGTGACCCCGCGCACAACAGAAGGAAATGTTGCCCGGTCCTCACCATCCCCATGATCAGTTGCAGAGCGGACCATTGTAATCCATAGGGTTTTCACTGGCTGATTTTCAGAAGCAGATTGCCAAGCCTTTCTTCCTAGTCTGCCTTAGTCTGGAAACTCCGCTGAAACCTATTCAGCATCGTAGCAACACAGAAGCCACCACTGATAGATGCATTGGTGAGGACTCAAACCTAGGTCTCCTGCATGAAAGTTGAGAATTCTGCCACTGAACCACAACTGTCCCCTTTTTTTTTTTGCAGTATATAAAAAATTAAAATAAAATAAAAACATTGCCCTGAAGTCAATCTCAACTCATAGTGACCCTATAGGACTGAGTAGAACTGCCCCATATGTTTTCCAAGGCTATAATATTTACATGAGGAGACTGCTACATCTTTGTCCCATCGAGCAGCTGGTGAGTTCAAACTGCCAGCCTTTCAGGTAGCAGTCAAGCATTTAACCACTGCGCCACCAAGGATATAGGAGAGTATATTTTAAAATAAATTTGCAGAGTCTTTTGCTTTTCTTTCTTTTTTAAACCAACAGAGCCAGTCTAAAATGCCGTACAGGGCAGGTGCTTGCTTTCAGTCTTCTTTGTACAACTGACTGCTTGGCACAGCACCCCCTACCTCCTTCCCTGTTTGACAGAGATGAGTTATGGGAGCGTCTGGCCAACAGCTCCTAACCTTCATTTTTCCCTGTGATATTGTCAGACAAGGGTTCGAGGTCTCCCACAAAAGACACAGTCACACTCCACTTGTCAGGAGCTAACTTTACTCACATAGAGAAGACTCACACAGAGTGAGGTCAGCTTCACCAGTGGGCACGGGCCTCCCGCGGCCAGCAGGATTCCCTCCCTACCCATGTGTGGCCAGAGCAGGGCAGATGTCCTGTGTTCACCCATCTCATGCCATAGGCTGAAGAGACCCTGTTCCCTCTCTGCTGGGAACAGATAAAGAAGTGGGGTTGGTCAGTTGCTATGTGGCGCCCACACATAACAAGAGACAGAGGAAAGTTACTATGTGTCCAGAACAGGGGGAAGCCTTCTCTGATAAGGAGAAGGAACTGGAAGAGAGAGACAGCAACCTGATTCCCAGCCTCCATGTCAAAGAATGTTCTGGACCCAAGACCTTAACTTAGACCGCCCAGATGGGAACCGTAGAGGCAGACCGTTCCCCCAGCAGATGTTCTTACACCTACTCATTAAGTGCATGTCACCAGCAGTCAAGTGAACTAGAGCTTGGTCGCCTAGGGTTCTGTCTCCTTCCTCCCGCCTTTGTTGTCATCTTCTGGATCTCTCTCCTTTGACTGATTGATCAGTTTGGTTGGAAATTGATTTGTGTTTGGATCCTGGCATAAGAACCTCCCAGACAGAAGGGTCCCAAATCAGAGTCAGGGGAGGAGGTGGGTTGTGTGTGTGGGGTTGAGGGGGGCAGAGCTTTCTGGGCAACCTGGGCACCACCTCTGCTTTCTCCTCCAGGTGAGGATGTGGTCTTGCTGCACCAAGGGCCCCTCTGTTCATAAGTATTTCCTTAAATGGAGGCACGTATATGGTTAGACTAAGTTCTTCTGAAAGAACAGTGTCAGTCTCAAGTCTGCTGGTCACAGCAGCAAAGACGCTCCCAGGTCCCCCAAGGCCCTGCCAGGCACGGACAGTGTTGCTGGCCCTGCCTGCCCCTCCCTGTCCCAAATCCAGGCCCTTGGATGCTGTGGAAGTGTCTGGAACATGTTGCAGATGCTTCTGTCCTGAACGGTGCCTCCTCTTCCGTAAGATTTTGTGTCCTTAGCTAATTGACTCAGAAACTCAATCTAAATTTAAGGTGTGAATATAGATGTATTCTTTTTAGATCAATATATTGGTTATGTATTGTTCTAAATCTGCAGGTTTTTTTTGTTTTTTGTTTTACTACTACAAGGAATGATACAGAGAATATATAGGGAATTCTATAGAGAAAACCCACCACCCAACAGTCAGTTTGTCATACTATGGTGGCTTGGATGTTGCTGTGATGCTGGAGGCTATGCCACTGGTATTTCACATACGAGCAGGGTCATCCATGGTGGACAGATTTCAGCAGAGCTTCCAGACTAAGACTGGGAAGAAAGGCCTGGCAATCTACTTCTGCAAATTAGCCAATGAAAACCTCATGGATCATAACTGAATATTGTCTGATATAGTGCTGGAAGATGAGTCCCCTAGGTTGAAAGGCATTCAAAATACACAGTGGCCGCAGCAATGGACTCGAATATACCAACGATCATGAAGATAGCACAGGACCAGGCAGCGTTTCATTCTGTTGTACATGGGGTCACCATGAGGGAAATGAGCCGACTCAACAGCAGCTAACAACAACAAATAGAGAAAACATTTTGTTGTATTTGTTCTCAAAATTGGGAAAAGAGAGAGAGATAAGTGAAGGAAGTAAAAGCAAATTAGTTTAAAAAACATAAATTATGTACCTTTGAATTCACCTTGTACAGTGAAACCTGTGAGAACCAGAACTTGATGGGACTGCCTTGTTTTTCTGGGTCCGTCAAGTTTTCCACCTTTGACAGATGCAGTCTTACCACTTTTCTATCACTCTCTGTTAAGAATCCTACCTCTTAAATACCCAGACAGTGTTTCTGTTCAATTTTATAGGACTGGAAAAGAAACCAAACTATTTTTAATGATTTGTATGGTTTTCAAATTATGTGCGTGTAATATTAAAAAATATATGAGTAAAATTCACTTTTTCTTGCATCTTGGAACTATTTCCAGATTTTGCATCTGTACTTCCTCGTAGTTGGGTTGCAATACCAACAATTTACTGATTGTCTCTGCCTCTCATGGGTTCCAGCTTTCAGAGAATATTTATTAGACTGAACTAATTGTTTTAGTGGAAAATATTGGAGTTTTCCTTCTCTGACAGGTTTCTGCCTTACACAGTTTCCGGCTTTCCCAGGTTTTACTGTAGCTAGGAAAGGTGGTTTGTTGATCTTGTTCTTTTGAGTCATCCTTTGAGTTTTATAACTTTAGATGGTTTCATGATAATAATAAGAAAATACTTAAGAATTAGTTTTTTTGAGCATAAAGCCTCCAGAATGGACTGTGCCTCACACAACTTAGGGCAGAGAACACCCAGCCCCCTAGAGTAGGTTATAGGTCCTGCACAACAGCAGAGTGTAAACTTAGGAAGTGCAGCTAGCAGGAGGGGATGAGTCCCGTCCCTCAGGAACCAATGGAGGAACTGGATGCCTTGCTAACTACTCTAAAATAAAAGTCTAAGGTCTGCAAGTTAAGTCTGAGTCAAATGTTCATTCCATAGAAGCTGACGTTTCTTATATCAAGTCACCAGCAAGTGATTTTGAGGATAAGCTTGCTTATGTTACCTTCATGCGCAGCTACTGTATCTTACTTATCTAGGGGACAGATACTAGGATTCTTGGGCCACCAGCTGATTAACCACAGCTTTTCAAAGAACTGTCAGGAAATAGAATGACCACTCAGCTTAATTTTGTAGCCTGTCCCCACATTTGTGATATACTCAGACTAAGGAGTGAAACATCTCGATGCCAAGTCCTATCAGTGCCAGTTCATTTGCTGCTTTTGTCTGTTTATGCTGGTGGTGGGGGTAGGATTTATAAACACTATTATCACAGCTGGATGAGTGTAAAGCATTTAGTATATAAGCTTCATAGATAACAACCTTTTCGAAGACAGTGGTCAAGGTAACTATCATGACATAGATAAAAAGTACTTTCAGTTCAAATTATTATGAAAGAAAGTTATAACTACACATAAAATGAGTCTGATGAGCAAATGTTACATTCAAATTGCACAATATGATTTATTAACAAAAGGTTTTTATTAACTTTCTGAGCTGTGTTATCTCATAATTACTAGATGATTCAGGTAAATCTAAATATGACATTCTGAATTCATGAAAGGAATTGTTAAAATATAAAATGTTAGAATACAAAGGGGCAGCTCTAGCCATAACTCTACTTTTGTTTTTATTTGGTGTGAGACTTCGATATCTAATGCATGATGCATTTGTTTCTGAAACCTGGGTTGTTACACACTCATTTTCTTGTGGGTGTTTTAATACCACCCAGGCTCTGATGGCCAGAATAAAGCAAGTAAGTGTGAGAGCCTTCTTTAGTCTGTATGGCTAAGTTTTCATCAAACTTTCCCTATATATACCTCTCCAAAAAGCAACATCATTTGCTAAGATATTTGGGACAATGAGTCAGCCTGGCTGCTTAAAGGAAAAACACTTTTTTTTAAACCAACATTTTCAATGTCAACATGAAAGAATGGAAAGAACATTAGAGAAGGCATAAGAAGAACTGGGTTCTAGTTTCTTAATCAATTAAAATCTCTACTTCTGACTTACCTGCAAAATGAAGATACTTGCCTGTCTCGTTAGGGTGAATGTGGCTATTATTATCAATGAATGTTCATTGGTAATAATAACCACAACATTCACCCTAATGTCAATGAATCAACATATTTGATGAAACTATCTCCTACCATCAAGAGTACTTCAGAAGCTTTTATTTCCAGGTAATCTCCTTAGACCTAGGAAAAACTTTTTTTAATAAACTAAGTTTTATCTGATATGTTAGCAATGCAAAATTAATGGTAAGTTAATGGTAGTTTACTGCATAAAACAAGTTTTTACTCACAGCGATGTTCAGTTGGCTGATGCCTTGTCACTTCCTGCGGTGAGCTCAGTGCCCTTTTTGACAGGGACAAGTCTAACGGCTCCACTTTGCTGATATTTGCCCCAAAGAAGATGGTGAGTATTCCAGTCAGATCATCAAAGAAGAAATCTCATTCCCAAACTATTTCGAAACCTTTCCCAATTGT